CCATGGAACAGTTGACATAATTAATTGATTTACAGGATAAAATAATTTTAAAATTGTTTTGAAGAATTAAAAGAACCTAAATTTAATTAAAATTTATTGTAAAAAAGTAAAATTATTATGTATATATATGTGCTCGTTTCACAAGAAGTCTTATTCATAAAAAATAAATTCCATTTTCAATTTAATAATAATTAATTTTTTTATTAACAATTTTAAAAAATTAACTTGATAGTAAAAAGAAACAAGTGTTAAAGTGTTGTAATTTAATAAACAAGTCCTCACTCAAAAAAAAAATTATTTTTATTTTAAAAATAATTATTTTTTATTAATAATTTTAAAAAATTAACTTAATATTGAAGAGGAATAATCATTATGCTTTCATGAACAAGTCTCCATTTAAAAAATTTTTTTTATTTTAATAATAATTAATTTATTTATTAACGACTTTAAAATATTAATTTGGTGGAGAGAAATTATTATAATCTAATAAATAAGTTTCTATTCAAGAAAGCACAATTCTTATTTTCATTTTAACAATAATTAATGCCCCCTTACAACAAATGTATAAACAATAGTCTTGTCTTTTCATAATAAATTTTAATTATATTTAAGTGTTTCAATCCTACAAAGCAATTAATTATGTCTAGTAGTTCTTGATTGTGATTTTCCCTTTACAATAACAACAATTATTGAGCTTTATAATATTTAAGGCCTTTTTGTTTTTTGGTTTTGTCACGTAACAATTGCATTTTTATTAAAAAAAAATGACACCATATTTTACTCAGCAGAGTTTATTATGAGGGAGATCAAACATTAAATTCTAAAAACTTGGCTAGTCATTCTTTCGTGTAAAGTAGAGTAGTTTAAAGTGTAATTAATGATTTAATATCTTTTCGACTAACTACAAAACTCTTTAATAACAAATTTTTAAAAATACATTTTTCACTATTCCAATTGGCCCAATGGGACATGCGTTCTTTTTTAAGAGGAATGTTACAAATTTTACTTGGATAAGAGTAAACCTCTTGTTTGGTCCCTTAAAAGAGAATATGTGTTCAAATTGTCCCCTTAAAAAACCTACAAACTAGTTGTTTTAAATTAAACAGAATTTTAAATAATTGAATTGAGAAAGATTGAAGCACCAATTCCCTGGCACATAATAGGGCCATTATATAAAACCGGTCATTTATATTTGTCTTGGATCATCAATGCATGGTTCAATATGGAGTATTAACCAAATATAATAATAAAATGGTAAGAAAATAAAAATTTAATAAAATTTATAATAAAGTATATAATATTATTTATAAAACATGAATTGGGAAATTTATTTATTAAATTTAGTGTAGTATATGAAAAACAAAATATCTAGCTAACTATATAAATCTCTTTATTTAATTATATGGTGGACTTCTGATTATAAACTAGGCATGACTTTATCTAGCCACCACAGGTTTCTTATACAAATTTTCTGCATAAGAAACCTGTGATGGCTAAGTTTTATTAATCAACTATAACCTTCTAACTTTTACCAGTGAATCCGATATTAGAGATGCAGAGTCAAATGTTTTTGCTTGCTGAACTTAGCAAAACGTTGACCTTTGTTATATAAACTCGCACCATAAATGGAACTATGGAACCGGACAACTTAATTACTCAATAAATACTAGTCATCCTCTTAACATTTAAAGTCAAAACTCTTTTGATACGATAATTAAAGTCAAAATTAACGTCGGGGAGCTAATTTACTGTTGATGCATTGGATTCCACTTTCCTGTTGGTTGGACATGTCTAAAACAAGATCACGAGAGGCGCAATAACGAGGTTGACATAGGTAATATCAAATACTATGAACAGGAGGACGAAGGCCAATGAAAATATTCAATAAAGTTGTTGAATGAAACGTTTTGATTAATGATATATCCAAATACTTGATTATTGAGTAAGTACAATAATATCGTTTAGTCCATAGAGTCAATGCTGCCTAGTAACATAAGATTTATTTTTATTGTTGTAGTAGTTTCACTTTCCACCATTACATAGAAATGAATCACTTTTTTTTTTTTTTTCGGGTCTACCAACATTTGAACCTGTCCAAATGGTTCGGTGTCGAGCAATAAACTACGGAGACAAGAGTCAGCTGATAATGAAACACATTTTTTTATACAATAATAATAATAATAAATAGCCAATTTAATCAGTTCTCTTAATCTCAGTGAATTAGCTAATCAGGTCTTAATATATTTAGGAACAGAGGAATACCATGGACACAGGAAGCAAATAGTTAAAAGTTCATCACTAGCTAAATAAAAACTTTTTAACAATTTTATTACAATCTGTCATTTTTCTTTGTAACAGGGACTCTCTCACTTTCTATTACTCCCTTTATTTAAAAATATAAAATATTTTTTAAGAAATTAAATGTTAAAAAATGAAAGACATTTTCAGTTTTTTAAGATGTAATCATTGACTTTTTTTATTAAAATATCCCTATTAATAATGACTGTATATTTATTATAGGGTATTTAATAAAGGTAAATATAAAAAGATAAGATTAGTTTAAAAGCAGGTAACAACTTTATTGAAGGATGAAATATAATTAAAAATATTTTATATTTTTTAATATAATTTACCAAAGTCAAAATACAAGAACACCTTAGATGCGGGGGGCGAAATGTCGTCGTACCCATTAAACAGGATAATTTACACGTATGATTAAAGTCAACTCTTTTTAAAAATTGTGCAAAATCGGAAGTCTGCTAATAAACCATCGTAGTAAGTCATTCAAGAGATCATACTACATTTCAGTTTTAAATTCAAGTACCAATTTCAGATATAATATTAACGGGTAGTAGTAAATTACTCTGAAACTATTTGAAAACAGTAGATTAGTTATAAACGATTTTTTTTCCTGGTAAAAAAAAACCATTTTATTTAAAAAAAATATCTTATTTATGGAACGACAAAGTGAAGTTGTCAATTTTTTTTTTAAAAATCACAATTAGAGACACTATAAAAATATTAATGATAATTCTAAATCTTGAATCATTAACATTTTAATAACTGATTATGATCCTTACTTATAATAAATTATATTTAGTTGATTGGCTTGGGATTTACAATAAATTTTAGTAAATTCTTAACTAACACTTCAAAAATTATCAACTAACTTTTGTTGATTTCTTAAGCCACAGCAAAAAATCAAAAGTAATTAGTTTGTAATTCAAAACTAATTCTTGTAAGATTTCAACTGATTGATGGTATTACAAATAATTTCAAATATATTTAGCATATTTTCAAAGCAATTTATTTATATATTGGCAGCAAAAAAATTATAAGCACTTACAATTCATAATTAAATTTTCAAGCAATGATACAAATAATTTCAAGTATATTCATTTGATTTTCTAAGTAGTTTATTTATATATTAATAGCAAAAATTAGGATTTACAACTGAATTTTACCAATTCTCAATTGATGTTAAAAATAATTCTAAATATATTTAGTAGATTTTTTAACTGATTATTCATATTTTTTAATTGCAAGTAAGGACTATAGTATGTTATATTATGATTTTAATAATTTAAGATTTACAATTATTATTAATGTCTTTATGAGATTCTTAATTATCATTTTTTCAAAAAAATTCTTCAAAACCGAATGTGATAATTGTTATGAAGCATCACTACAGTTAGGAATAATAGCCCATGATTTATAATCTTGAAAACTTTTGAATTTGAGTAACTAAGGTGCTAAGATTAAAAGTTATAACTTACTCCCTCTAATCTTTATGATATTGTCTTTGTTAAAAAAATATAAATTATTTTTAATTAAATTACATTCTTAATAAGTTAATTAATTATATTAAATTGATATAATCTTTTCCTATTTGTTCTTATTATTTTTTTGCTAGCGCCTACTTCTTTCATTCAAAAATATAAGACACTTTTTAAAGAGTTGGATATTTAAAAATATAAAGCATTTTTAGTCTTTTAAAGTGCAATCATTACCTTTTTTAAAAGTGTCCTTATTAATAATGACTATTATATTTATTGTAGGGTATTTAATAAGAGTAAATATAAAAAAAATAGGATTAGTTGAAAAGTATATAACTATTTTATTGGAGGGTAAAATTTAGTTAAAAATACTTTATATTTTTAAATAAAAGGAGTATTAATTCTTATTTAACAGGGTATCTCACCAAGTGATTTATTTATTAACGTTATTTTAAAAAAAATGCATTAACTACATGTTAAAAAAATTAAAAGCATATTATAGAGTATTTTTTAATAAAAAAATAATTTATTTGACACTATTTAAAAAGGATTGATGATATTTAGCATAAGACTTTTGAAGGAGCGCTATTATTTATGTTTTTTTACTAACATTTTTTATTTAAATTTATTAAATATATGAGAGAATATATTATAAATTTAAAATTTTTTATCTTAATAAAAGTAAAATTAAAAATTTATTTTATTTTTAAACATAATTAATTATAAAATTTATTTTACAATCTCTTTTAAAAAATATAAAATATATTTTAAAAATATAAAATATTTTTAATTTTTTAAGTTGTAATTATTATTTTTTTAAAAAATATTTTTATTGATGAATAATTTTATATTTATTATAAAATATTTAATAAAAATAAATATAAAAAGGTAGAATTAATTTAAAAATAAATAATTATTTTATTAAAAATAAATTTTAATTAAAAATATATTATATTTTTAGATGGGGGAGAGATGCCAACGATGATTCTCCTTGGTCATCAGAGAAAATGGAAATTCGAGAGCATCACGAGGGGAAGATTGACCAATGGCAAACACTCCTTTTTCCACGCGCTCGAGTACTGCAAGTTCATGATCAAACTTCTTTCACTGTTTGTGGGACCCGAACTCCACTTTCTCTCCAACACGTTTACAAAATCTGTTTAATAAAGTTTTGGAATCCGGGAAGATGAACAATCCAACGGAGGGTGCGCACTGGGCACTGAGCAGTGATCATTGGCGGGCCGGTGGCCACTACATTATATAATAATAAATGGTGCCCTGTTTTCGTTGAAGTTGAAGATTCTTGGGGAGTTGGGTTTTAGACTCTTCTGTGGAAGAGATAAAATGCTTTTCACTTTTTTCTTCAGTTTCTTTGAATTTTGATAATCCCTTATCTGAGGTGGAGGATTCACCTAGATACTGCTCTAATGGAGTCCAATTATTTTTCGATTGGAGAAATTTCTTGATTCCATCTTCAGTGGCATCGGTAAGCGGTTTCGTCATTCATTGTCTTGTTCGGTCGATGAGAAAATGAAGCAGAAACAAATTTTGATTTCTTGGTTGTTAACAGCTGAATCAGCTCGTCTTTTTGTGTGTCTGTCCGTGTGTATATGTATAAGCGTGCCCATTTTGATTCTTCTTCAGGCGCTTACCTCTTTTTTCCGTAATTATTTTACCATTGGAAGGCTTAATTATGATTGACCTATCGAATTCTTTTTCCTCCTTGGGTTGTAAGTTATCTTTTTCACTATCTGTGAAATGCTGCAATTAATGTAATGAGAACAATTTTTTGAGCACTAAAGTCACCTAAAAAAAAAAATCTGAGTGAAATAATTGATGTTGAGGTTATTTCCTACACTGAAAAAGTATTCTTATATTTAACTAAATCATAACTATAACGAAGTGATATGTTTGACCCTCTACTGCTTTGATTCTCGCAGGGGCCGTTGTGAGTGACCAAGAGATTTCTGAGAGTTTTGCTTTGAATTTTGTGGATTGGTTGGGAAAGTGAAATACCCGGTGATTCGTGACAGTTAAGGCTTACTTACAAGACGGCTGTTTACGTTTATTTTCTCATAATTCTTCGTTGGGGCCAAGCTATGGTGGTACTTTTGCTCCTGTGTACAACGGAGCCACCAATTAAAAGGAGAGCTGGTTTATGGATTAAACAAGCAGGACGAGGTTCATACCGGGGTAGCTAGGGGGTGATGCAGAAGCTGTTATTAGTTCTGATTCTAGTTCACTAAGCAAATTTCCCGAAAATTGAATGGAAACCACTTCTACAAAGCATTTGTTGAAACGCCTTTGTGATTATACTCATTGGAACTATGCTGTGTTTTGGAAGCTTAATCACTATCCTCCAATGTGAGTTCCTCGACTTCAGAGCTGCTTCCTCTTGCTTTTACTCTGTTTTTTTTTGGTTGATTAACGAGGCTTGTTGCCTCTGTTATACAATAGTTGATGTAATTTTCCATCATAATAATAAGTATCTAGTTTAGTTGTAATTTTCTGAGGTTTAGCTGGGTATTAAGGATTATATTATCAATAATAGCGTAGGAGGATATAAGATAACTCTAACTGATCTGTCTTGATTGCAAATTGCTTTGTGCTGCTTTGCTTTAATTGTGTGGATTTTTAGCTGCGAATCAGTGACCTTAGATGACTATAGATTCACATTATACTTCTTCATGGCGGGAAGCTATTGTGTGGATTTTTAGCTATTTTATGTTCTGCATATGTTTTATTATCTTATTGTATCAAAGAAACACCTCCTGATAGAGAATGCAATTGAGAGTGCAGTTTATGCATTTATGGCCCCATGTCCTATATCAAATTGCAGATCCATTTGCAGGACACATTTTAGCATCTCATGTTCAAGATATCCTTTTGGCCACGTCCTGGACTAACCATATCAGAAGTCATTTGAGCATATTATATATACACATGAGATTATTTTTTATTTAAGTTGATGAGATTAATGTCTAGCATCATAATTTGTATATTTTGTAATTATCAATCTGATTGAGAAAGCAGTCGTGCTTGTAGTTTTTCTATGTTAAATGATAGATACAGTTAAAACTTAGATGTAGTGAGTATGACACAAGTTTACTTAATTGATTTAGGATGTTGACTTGGGAAGATGGATACTATGGTTGCCAAAAAGCAAACGAGGCTGTGGAAAGCATCTGCAGTGAAGTTAATTTTGAAGCCTCAGATTCTGTCTTCTCTACAAGTAATGAAATTACTGGTGATTCTGGAGCTTATTTAGTTCAACCACTCATGACTCAAATGTCTAATCTGAAGTACATTTTGGGAGAGGGGTAAAACCTTATTTCTTTATGTACAAATGCTTGTGGTTATGAGTTTTTTTTTTCTTTATTTGGCAATTTACTCATGGAAATGGACATGCGCGCTCAGAGACTGACCTCGGAAAATATGAAGATCATCTATCTTATTTGGTTGAAAATTGAGAAATACTGAATGAATATTTCTAGGATGAGAAACTGTGAGCATAACATTGAAGGCTGGATCCTCAGGGCATTCTCTTTCTTTTTTTCATTGAACCACCAAATCTGAAATTGTTGTTGGGCAGATTTTGATTGATACATACAGGCGGTTCTGAGTATTGCTTCTTTGTGTAATATAAAATGAAGTAGCTCCCATCTAGACACATAAATGGTATCAATGAATTATATTGGTTATTGTGCTAATATGTATTATAGAGGAATTTTATTCATGTACAAAGCACTTTCAAACTTGACTTTAGGTCATATTTATTTTGTCAGGATTGTTGGAGAAATAGCTCTTAAAGGGGTTCATTGTTGGGTTTTCTGTGAGGATGTCTTCACAAGTAATTTCAACATTAACATGATCTCTGAGGTGAGATTCTAATCACAAGATTTTACGAACCACTATTACTTCTGCGTTTTATTCTTCTATATATTTTGTTGTTTGATATGGATACCTAATGTATTTTCATCCCTGCAGTGTCCCTACGAATGGCTTCTTCAATTTGCATCTGGCATAAAGGTAAAAATCTCTCAATATATGACTTATTGATGCCATGATTAAAGTGATGTTTTTGCTTCTGGTGATGAGTTACAAAGCATTGGGCATTTGTACTACTGATTGCCCTGGTCAACTCAACCTAACTACAATACGCATGCCTTGCTAAATCTTGTTGGCTTACTGTTTAAAGGGCCACTTTCAAACAGGTTTGGAGTTCTAATCCTTTTCGTTTTTGCAGACTATTGTGCTTGTACCAGTTCTTCCACATGGAGTTTTGCAATTTGGTTCATTTGAAGCGGTGTGTATTTGTTTTATATTTTGGTCTTCCAACTAGACAAACTTTGGATTTAACTATCACTGTGTGAGATCGTGATAAATGAAAAACCTAAGAATTCTTCGGTGCAAATTTGAGGTTGATGTTACAATCCATTTGATATCCCTCTATGAGTATGCTTGTCTGCCAAGAGCTGGGATGGTGGGATGCTTATGTTATTTTCACATGCATGAGTGTGTTAGTTGGTGCAAGCATGTTGTCTATATGGCAAATGTTGTGTTATTCTTTTTCAGCTTACTTTGATCTGTCATTTCCTTTTTAGGTTGCTGAAGACCCAATATTTGTTGGCAATGTCAAGGAGAAATTCAATCCTGTGTGTTATGAGGTGTCAAATACTACATTTTTTAGCTCAGATATTGATATTAAAGCACCGTTATTCTCATCCCTAAAAGATTGCCTTATGAGTGACTTGGATGAAGTATCTCCTATTTCAAACAATAAACTGAAAGATGAACCTTTTGGTAGCACATCACTCAGTATAGATGGTTCAACGATATTATATCCAACAGTGCCATTATTTCTTCACGAGGAGTGCTGCATGTTTGGGGAAGATCAATTTGATACTGTCAAAAACGAAGACAAAAATGATATCAGTTCCCTGGACATAGGAGTTTTGAAAGATCCAAGACCCATAGGTCAGGTGGACATGAATTTGAGCCAAACGGGAGAAAAATTACTGGCTTTTTCTCAGTGGGTCAACAATGCGGGATTATTTGATGAGATTTCAAATGGAACATGCTCTTACTCTGATAAAGATATGACGCAATATTTTGGAGGCACCAATACCGATCATAAAAATTGTCATGATGTGCGTGGTTTATCTGATGCTTCCTTGCATTGTGACTTATATAAAGCACTTGGACCCACTGCTATTGGACAGACAGCTGAATCTCTGTGGAAATATTTCTCTGTTGAGGATACATGCAGTAGCTCAACTCTGATGTTCGATGGGAAAGGGCAAGATTCTGTTAAAGATTTACAGTTTCTCAATGAAGGTGACTCTCTGTATCTTTTGGATGCTGTTGTGGGCAATTTAGAGAATGCCTTGGATGATTCTTCATTGAGTGTAGCCAATGATGTTAAGCCTCCTATAACCTTGCCAAGAGAATGTACCACTTCCATTCCTCCACAAAGTCATCCAGAAGAAAGCACTTTGATAGTGAATCATTCAGATCATGAGAATTGTATTGCGCCTGACTTTATGGCTAAGTGCACGGATGATTTTAGTAACCTTGTTACATCAAGATCTTTTGATGGCAATTCAAGCGTTTTGATTGATGAGACAGTGCAGGATAAGGGTTATGGTCTTGTGCAGCCTAAAAGTGGACCGAAGCTTTCCAGCACTGGCAAGAAGAGAGCCAGAGTTGGGAACACCAAAAGGCCAAGACCTAGGGATAGACAGTTGATCATGGACAGGATGAAGGAATTGAGGGACCTTGTCCCAGATGGTGCCAGGGTAAGTTGATATATTCCAGTACCAAAGCTAAAAAGTTTGGAGTTCCTTTTGCACTTTATAACATGTTTTTCTTTGGTGTTATGATTCACAGTGTAGCATTGACAACCTCTTGGAACGGACAATAAAGCACATGCTGTACTTGCAAAATATGACAGACCAGGCTGAAAAACTCGAACGATGCTTGCTTCAGGAGGTTAGTATAAACAACATTTATTATGATGATAACCCTAATCTTTAATCCACAAAAGTGCTAGTGTTACATAGGACATTAATACTATATTGTCAAAAAAGATACTGAATGGTTACATCTTACTATAGGTTCCTGAGTCCAGTAAACGGAAAATCAATGGCAACCATGCAGGAAGGAGCTATGCATTTGACTTTGAAAGTGAACGCCAAGTATGCCCCATTATCATTGAAGAACTTGGATGCTCAGGGAACGTGCTTATAGAGGTCTGCATATTTTTTCGTTGACGAATGGTCCAAGCCATGTCAGATTTGATAGTTAACTGGTTATCACTTGTCAAGGAACTTTTCATCATTAGGCTTATAAATAGATTGATTGTAATGTCTAACACGTTATGTCTCAAAAATCCATTGGACTTTAGGTGTGAATAAATTGAGAACCCATTATATTTTTATGCTGGAACTTAAATTTAGACGAGAATGAAGGCCACCAGGATTAAACCCGTTCCTCTTGGTTATAGAGAATTGGATGCGAAGTCTTTGATAATTTCTATTGAAAAACTTCAACTATTTTAAAGAGGCCTCTGATAATAGTATTCAAGGATTCATTGACCGAACTGCTTGTCATGTTTTGTCTGCAGGTGATATGCAGTGAGTACGGCCTTTTCTTGGAACTTGCTAATGTGATCCGACGGATGGAGCTTACCATCTTGAAAGGTGTTTTAGAAAGCCGTTCTGAGAGCATGTGGGCTTGTTTCATTGTTGAGGTATAGAAGCATTGCCTGATTTGATTAGTACGGTTTTTTTCTTTGGCGGGTGAAACTTTCATTTGAATTCTGAGATATATTTTCTGTGGCATCCACAGGTTCCCAGAGGTTTTTACAGAATGGATATTATGTGCCCTCTATTGCATATTTTGCAGCTAAGGAAGAACAAGTCCAATTAGAATCTCGACACTTCCATCCATCAAATCAGGGACGATATACAGCCTGTGTCTTGTAGCAGGTTTTTCTAGATATGAAGACGACGATGGTTAATTTAGAGCCTCTACCTAATGATAATCTAGTTGCTGAAGATGGAGAGAAACCGAAGTGCAAGAAGGTGGTTCATTGGCTTAAAGTGCTTGTGTCTTTTGAAGCTGTGAGGAAATGGCAATTTTGCACATTTACAGTGTTGATGACATAGGGAAGGAAGGAGAATTCTTTGCTTAATCACTACTATTCTGTCTGGAGATTCTGATTTGAGATAGGTGTGCTTTTATGAAATGAAGAGGAACTTTGGATTTTGTGGTGGAGGAAAATGCTGTGGCCTTTTTTCCATCAAGCGTTAAATTTGCAAAACAGGTTTATTATTGATATCGCGGATCGACTTTCCTCGTGTTTTGAAAGTGTATTATTAACTCAAATAATGTTGCAGTTTGTTTATTATCGTTGGATATCAATAACAGTGACCGTAATCTTTATTGTATTTTCACAAAGCTGCATGACTTGAGCCATCAAACCATGTCAAAAATAAATGAGTTGATTATCGACTTAAAAGTGCCTAACGTACTTGTAATTCCATCTCATGTGACTTGCGCCATCAAGTTACCTCAAAAAAGTTGATTTATTAGGTCAAAGTGGCCTTAAAACTTGTAATATGATCTTAATTATTATTCTAAAAGGAACATATCCCGTTCACATGATCTTTACCCTTTCTTGCCATGCCTGTTTCAAGGAGTTAAATAAAGCTATATCCTGGACATATAATTATTTTTCAATTGAAGTTGAGAATGCAAGCCAACCTGTTTCATACAAGCTATATACAGACATAGTGAACCAAAAAGGGATGAGGTGGGCTAGCTTGCTTCAAAAAGCGTGGAGTGCTAGGGCCAGCTCAATAAATTTGTATTCGTTTAAAAATATGAGTTATTATTTATTTGGCTGCGCAAAATTAAAAATAGATACTTTTTTCATTTAAAAATGTAAGATATTTTTTAAATAATAAAATATTAAAAAATATAAGATATTTTATTTTTAGTCTTTTGAAGTGTAATTATTATCTTTATTCCAAAAATATCCCTATTGATAAATGATTTTATATTTATTATAAAGTATTTAATTGAGAAAAATATACACAGATAAAATTAGTTTGAAAGTAAGTAACTACTTTATTGGGATGTGAGATTCAATTAAAAATATTTTATAATTTTAAATGGAGAGAGTGGCTACTATATAAAGCTGCTATTATATTATCAAAATCCCATCTTAAAGCATATTTTGGCAAAACCAACGCTTACAGTCATTCCTTCCCACCTGTAGTTAAATTTGGGCGCAGCATCCCTATTTTTCCTTTTTTTTTTCCTGCCTAGTGTTGAGTTTTTGAGTTTTGCTGCAGTTCATCATCGCTAGCCACCTCATTATTTCTTTAGCACCTCATCTAAAAAAGAAATAGCAAAATAATATAATTTTAATGATAATTTGAAAAATAAAAATAAAAAAGTGGGCTAGCTTGTGTTGACTTGCTTTTAAAAACGAGCCAATAATCAGCCCAACAAATCCAATTTGTATTTCTAACTATACATAAATTAAGAAGCGATAATAAAAACCTTAGTCTCTTAAATTTGTTTCAATTATTTACTTAATCCTTTAAGTTTAATTTTTATTAATTAGATTCTTTAAGTTTACCTCGGTTATCAATCCAGACCTTATTATTAAAAGAGGAGGTAGCATTGTTAAAATCTGCTAACATAGATAATAGAATATTGATGGCAACCATGTAGATTAATATAAAAAAGTATAATTATTTAAGTAAACAAAAATAAGTTCTGAAATTTTAAAAAATAAAACAAGAAAACCCAATATAAAAGGATTATACTAATTAGAATTAAATTGATTTAAGAGCCAATTTACTCTCATTTAGCTACATATACATATTAAGTTATTAACATACTTTACATATGAGATTAATTTAAGAGTCAATTTGTGTTTTAAAATTAAGGGTCTAATATGATAATTAAAAAAAAAGGTAAAGAACTGAATTAATAAAAATTAAACTTGAAGAACTAAATCAATAATTGAAGCAAATTTAAGGAATTAAAAATTTCATTAGCCCAATTAAGGATATTATTTAAAATTACTCTTAATTGCAAGTTTAAAAAATGAAAAGGTTTACAGTGAAAAATTTATGAGTATTTTTAAAAAATTGTATCAAGGATCATGGGAAGAGTTCTTTCAAGTAAGATGGAAGGGAATATAAAACAAGAGAGAATTGTTGAAGCCTAACTGATCAGTGAAGGCAATGATGCCTCTTAACTCTTGTTGGTCCGATCCTATTGCGTTGAAGCGTGTTTAATTAAGTGCTTTATTTATAATCTTCCTTGAAAGATAAACTAATTATTCATTAATTAGTTAAGTGGCTTGATGGAATTCTAGAATAACCGATTGTTCAGAATGACTTCCCACAAAAACACCAAACGGAACTTGGTTGGAGTAATTTACGGTATCAAGCCCATTGACCAAGTTAAAAATTAGACCGTTTTGAGACTCTCCGAGAATTTTATGTTTACATATTATCATGATGGATATAACAAATACAAGAGTTAATCCTTTATTATGATCAATTTAAAGTGTACATCTCATTTAATATATACTGTTGTGGAATGTTTTATTGCTACTCGATTAACTAGCAATTCTTTTTTCGTAAACAAACATATATATATATATATATATATATAGAACACACAACATTCAACAATAGCATATATGATTTTCGGTGGGAGATAAAAAAAAATGAAAAATGAATTGAAGGACATATTCACTTGCAATAAGCATGGAAAAATTTAAAGTAAATAAACAAATTACTCTCAAATTTTAGATCTAATAGCATCATAGATTTTAAATTTGCTTATTGTATAAATTATTCTTTTAACTTTTGAATAAGGTGAATATAAACACTGTCATTAATAAAAGTTAATTTTGATTATTAACTATTAAAAAATGATGGAAAAGGACTTTAAAAATAATTAAAAAATGACCAAAAATTTTTGATCTTTTTTGTGGTAATTTTTCTTGTCCTTTACTGTAACTTTTAAGGTACTTTTTTTATTATTTTCTAGTCAACTAATAATTAAATTTAACTCTTATTAATAGTAGGAATCAAATTGAACCATTTTTAAAAAATTAAAAGAATAATTTACATAATAAATAAGTTAAATGGGTAACTTGCCTATTTAGAAAAAAATTATTAGGTTTCAAATATTTCATTCATGAAGTGTATAATTCTTGAACAATTATATATATGGCAGAATTCATCTCAATGGTCATTAAGATTCATCTATTTTTGAAAGACTAGTTATCTAAATCGTTAATTAAAAGCTATCTATTATATCCAAAGGGAAAAACACAATTATCATTCACTGTAATTTTTATCGGGTTTTGTTTTTAATCTCTATAATTTTTTAGTGTCTTTAATCTTTATAATTTTAACAAGATTGAGTGACATTTATTATTTAGGTCCTATAGTTTTAGTATTTTCAATTCTTATATAAGGACTGAAATTATTGAAAAAGAATTACAAAAACTAAAAGCAAAACTTGATAAAACTATGATCACGTTTGGTTATTATAAAAAAATAGATTAAAAAAATTAACACAAAAATGAATTAAATTATCCTTTCTCTTCATGCTAAACATAATAAACTCATTAACGTACACTATAAATATGAAAATATCACACCTTTAAAAAATTTTATGAATTATAATTTTCAACTCCATGAATTAAATTACCCCATTCCTTTATAAATGTAGTTTACTATTCATTTTTGTCATTTTATTTTTATTTTTATTTTTATTTTTTTAATCTGTTCAATTTTATTTTTTTCTAATAACCAAACGCGTCCTGTAGGAAACAATGATTGTGTTTTCCTTATCCAAGATATATACAATTATATCTTGAATAATATATCTTGTCAACATCATAGGCAAATAAATCATCGCTATCTATCAAGGAGGATTACCAGCTATACCTATGTCAATGGATCAATTTCTTAATTAATATAATGAATCTATATTTAATGGCATGAATTCTCTGGGTCTAGCTACTAGCTACTAGCTAGCAAGTCCCTAAACTAACATAAAGTACAAAAATATGTTATAAACATATTTAATTAGATTCGGACAGATCTTATCTTTAAGCCAGGGATTAATTAAATTCTTATTCGTCTAAATAAAAGATTAATTAAAACTAATTAGCATACAAAGTCTCTGAAGTTGAAGGGAATAGATTTTATTACGAAAGAATTGCATTGCGTATGAACTAAGTTTGGCAAATAGGACGTGAGAAAGAAAAGGGAAGAATTATGTTGGATCATTTCCTTGTGAATTCCGTGCTTGGTAGAAATTGATGAGTTACTGCAAAATTTAATTCAATCCATCTATATCACACTAACATGCTTCCAAACAACAAAACGGTCCTCTCTCTAATGTCTATATTAGTATAAAAATGTATATTCCATGTATTTTATTATATGTTCATTATTGTCAATATTCTTCTTCTCCATCGTTTTTTAAAATATAAACAAATTGATAGTGCCATGCGATGCGATCTAAACAAATTCTCAGTCGTGAATGATTGGTCAAATGGTTTGAAACCCAGTCATATTGTTACATAAGAAAGTAGCTAGGAAACTTGTGTCTGCTCATTGCTAACCATTATTTCTTGATTACATATACAAATATTTTTTATGAACAAAAGATTTACTTATACTATAGTTCAATACAATTTTTTTAATTAAAATTTCCTTAAAAACTAAAAAAATTGGATAGAAGGCATTTTAGTAAACTCTTAAGAGAAATTCTTTCAATGCACCATGCCATTCATGTTTAATTGATTCAATAAAATTATACCAGTTCAATCAAATAAAATTTTATGTATCGTTATTTTTAATGATTTTATTTTTTAAATAGAGTGTATATTTAATTTCTTATATTCTCTCTCTCTCTCTATTATAATGACAGAATCAATTTATATTTATAGTCATCTGACATAGTATGTTTTTATTGAATTTTATTGAATAGAGCATAAATGATGTGATGTATATTTAAAATATAACAAGTTGTCATGTGCAAGTGCAAGCATTTGTTTTTAATCTTATATTTTTTTTAATCATATCATGCATCATCCGAAAGAAATAATAAAAAATAAATCTGCCACCATTAAAAAAAAATTTCCTCACATAATTTTTTTTTTGCCAGAAAAACATGTAAAACAAGGGAGAGAAGAAATTCAAAATGACTAAGCCAAAATTACTGTCTTCTTGCAATGCAATATCAAACATAAATTTATATAACAAGTTACACGGTTCACAATCATTTACTTATAATTCATGAATTTATATACTATTTCCTTAAAGTTTTATTTAGCAGAGGATGGGATACTCACCTAATGATTACCTAGTATAATTAAAATAACTATAATAATAAGATGTCT